CATATATATATATATATATAAAAAAAACATTCACACCATGATGCTGGCCTTCCAAACACAGCTATGCACAATCTCAGTAATGTCATCATTCTGAAAGCACTTCAAATATTCTGTGTGTGATGGTTATTGAGCCTAGCACTTGTACTAGAAATAAAAGAATTAGCACAATTCCCACATCTCTAACAAGAAAATCAGGATTAAGAGGAAGATCTCTCCAGCCTTACTTCTGCAGGTTGGAATGTCACAGTATTTCCAGTACACTCCATCCTCATGCTCGGCTATGTAACACCAGGGACTGACATCACCATCTGGGTTCCTGGCAAAACAAGAAGGTAAAGTTCATAGAATTAGGGGAGTAAAGAAAATAGAGTATACATTGTGCTAAACCTAAAATACAAGTTGTATGTCTGAGAAGCCTGTCATCATTAGATCATTAGATATATTCTGTGATCTACCAATGTGTAAAGAGCAATAAAGTGCTATTACCCACAAAAGAATGTGAAATCAGATTTAAAGTGACACTAAACTCAGGAGTTAAATCTTAAAGATACATTCAAGTACCTTACATATTAACAAAAATTTATCTTATTTGTGTATCACTCGGCTGTAGATCCTCAAATCATCTCTCAATTGGTGCTGACACTGTCCTTCCTTCTGGAGGGTGCGTGCTTTTGTTCCTCATGGTCCCTGTGTGTGTTCTAAAGTAGCCACCTCTCCAAGCTCGCTCTTGTTATGGACTACAATTTCATGTTTAGTTTGCCAAGTTGTATTGCGATTGTAGTCCATCATGGCAGTGAGCTTGGAGCGGTGGCTACTCTACAACCCCCATATATGCGCATAACCAACACGCGCCCAATAAGAGTATTACAGCGAGCAGCTCACTCTGCCCTCAAAATTTTGCTGATTGGCATATTTCTATTCCAGAGTTCCATAAAGTCCAGAATATGTGCATGAAAAGACTACATGTGGGAAATATTTTCCAGTTACTGTATTATCTTATGGAGAACACTGTTTTTAACACTTTTAATTATTTGATGTAAAAAACAAAGGGAAAAAAATGTACCTTACCTATATTTATATCTCACAATGATTTATACCCAAATTAAATCTTACACATGTATGTTCCTGGATTCTAACAGGAGCATGTGGTTCAGTTTCTGGATATAGGGCCGGTTCCCACCATCACTATGTGATTAACACACACCATGTGATTAACACACGGCAATGCACAACGCACCTGCCATGTGATTACAGTGTGGGAAGTGCATTGCATTGCCATTCATTGGAATGGCACCTCTAAATGCACCGCTCACTGCATGGTACCGCAATACCGTGCGTTGTTTTGCAGCTAACAAGTGTAGTGCATGCACTACATTGTTGAAAAGCAACACAACGCACGGTACTGCGCAGTAGGGCAATACTAGTCTATGCTAGTCTTTATGTGCATGTTTATCTATGATATATACAGAAAGTTCTCCCCGTATGCTGTATAATGCTGTATTCTGATATAATGTTCTTCTAAGCAAGCAAAACTTAATTCAGCATTCCTTAAGATCTCAGTGCTTCATCTAAGCACAAAACCAACAAAGGGATAACAGCTGTCTTTAGAAAAATGCATGAAATGCTTTTGCAGTCATGTCTAGGATCATGTAATAAGAATGATAAGAACAATGACAACACAAAGCAATTTTTCACTTGCCATACGTTTCAGTGACATGGAGCAAAGTAAATGCTTTTCCAAATGTATTGAAGACCACTGCTCAGTTTGCTTTTTTACAGTGCTATTTGTCATATGTATTACACATCTAACTGAAATATCGATATACCTGGCTACACCAATGTATAAGGAGGAGAATGGTGCATGTAACACATAGAGGTCTATTCACAAAGCTAGCCGAAGGATCAGCCGTAGCTGATCCTTTGGCTAGCTTTGGTTGCGGCAGCCCTTTGGTTCAGTCGAACCAAAGGGCTGCTGTACGGGCTATTCACTATAGCCCTACAGCTACCGAAGGCGGGCGGGCGAGCGGCTCAGCCGAGCTGAAGGCATATGCTTCGGCTGGACTGAGCGCAAGTGAGAGCCGAAGGTCGGCCAAATGCCTCGCAAATGACAGCTGGGTGGATCTCACGGCCGGCTCCGCCCAGTTGTAATGACAATCCAGCGTCCCCAAATGACCTGGGGACGCTGAACTGTCATTAAACAATGACAACTGGGTGGAGCCAACCGTGACGTCATGGCCGGCTCCGCACCAGTTACTCCTTGGCGCGGGACCTGAGAGAGAAGACTCTAGCAGGTGCCGGCCAATAGGAAACAGTTGGGCGGAACTATCTGTCACTGCTGGCTCCGCCCAATTGTTGTTTTTTTTTCTAATCTTAATTTTTTTAAGATTTAACATTTATTTCAGCTTTATTCATTTTTTTACTTTTTGATTGATTTCCTATTCTGCTCAGTACGTTGGCGGCATTCGGCTAGTCACTCACTACCCTTTCGGCCCCTATGTGAATAGGGGCGAACTGCAGCGAGTGAGCTTCGGCTCCAACATCTGGATCGGCTGAGTCAAAGTCCTTTGAAGAAAAAAAAAAAGTCCTTCTGCACTTCGGTTCAGCTGAAGGCAGCCAATGTACGTAGCGACGTTGTTCGGCTCACTTCACTACGGCTCGGTTAGTCACTCGGCTGCCTCCGGCAGCTTAGTGAATAACCCTGATAATTTTCCAATATTTTATCTAAAAGAAGTCCCACAGCTCTGCATCACACGTGAGAATTTAATGAGCAAATCATTGTTTACAAATTGATTCTCAGAGAAAATGGAGCAATGGAAGCTTTCAGCAGATGAAGCCATAAGGGTCCAAAAAAAACAATAAATGCATCTATGGAAAAAATACATTACTGTGTTATGGCACATGGTTGGCAAGGCATGGTGAGTAGTTTGGCATGCCTGACTGCATCAAGCTTACCTACATATTTACTGTAATCATTAACACTTAACGTTTACTAAATAGCCGTGTGAACTGCCACTCATTTTTATTTAAGAGCACATTGAGCAAACATATAATGGAAACAGCAGGCTCTAACCTATATGACATTCTTTCATAGAGTGATTGAGCTTTTCAGTCTTTTGTAAAGCCCAACAAATATTACATTTTCTTATTAATCTTCTTAACCAGCTTTGAATAGGCATTAAACCTAAAATTCACCTTATAAAACATAAGCACTAATACCATTTATAACTCAATACTTTGTGGGAGTTTTCAAAAGGCTAAAGCTATTGGATTCCATTTCCCATGATGTTTTGAATTTTACATTGTTTGTGATTTCACAAAGAAATCTCTCTTACTTGCAGATTTATTTAATTAAAAATGATGCAGGATAGATCCAGACAGTTTAACAGCTATACTGAAGTAAAGGGAGAACAGGAGTGGCAAACCTCTAACCTGAGACCCAATCAACTCCAGAGGTAAAGAGGAACAAAAGTGCTTGAAAGGTCCTCTTGTATGCGAAAAGTATGCAGGTGTCAATATCGCTTTTGGATCAAATAGGGGTTTGCTTTGAAAATTGATCTTTGGAACTCATAACAAAAGAAGCAATGAATAATATAAGTAACCAGAACTAAGACTTATTACTTTGTTATCTATAACTCCAAATAATGTGCTGCAGGCCTTAAAACTAAAGTCATAACATTTTGAAAGCTGTCAAAAACATCTTTTTATCACAGAATTTTATGATAATATCATCATATTTACTAGGCTCATAAGCCTAAACTAGCAATTAGAGCATAGGTATAATTATACCACTTGGCATCCCCAAACAACAACACATTAGACACACATTCCACTTAGTTCTACTTTTATAGTAAGCCTATGCATGGGTAAAAGAGCATTTTTCATGCCCAGTGACTGGTATCACAGTCTCAGATAGACTCAGTAAATATCTTAATTTGGTTGGCAATCATCTGTATTGTGTGAAGGACATTAAGAGTGACTAATGAAAACTATATATATACAGTTACTCTCAGGAGCTCAGTGAATTCAAGCGTGGTAACATGATAGGTTGCCACTTGTGCAATAAGTCCATCTGTGACATTTCCTTGCTACTAAATATTCTGAGGTCAACTGTTAGTGGTATTATAACAAAGTAAAAACAACTGGGAACAACAGCAACTCGGCCATGAAGTGGTAGGCCATGTAAAATATTTGGGGATGGCCCCTTCCTGTTCCAACATGACTGCGCACCAGTGCCCAAAGCAAGGTCCATAAAGAAATGGATGAGCGAGTTTGGGGTGGAGGAACTTGACTGGCCTGCACAGAGTCCTGACCTCAACCTAATAGAACATCTTTGGGATGAATTAGAATGGAGACTGCGAGCCAGGCCTTCTCGTCTAACATCAGTACCTGACCTCACAAATGCGCTTCTGGAAGAATGGTCAAGCATTCCCATAGACACACTCCTAAACCTTGTGGACAGCCTTCCCAGAAGAGTTGAAGCTGTTATGGCGGCAAAGGGTGCTCCAACTCAATATTGAACCCTAAGGGCTAAGACTGGGATGCCATTAAAGTTCATGTGCATGTAAAGGCGGGCGTTCCAATACTTTTGGCAATATAGTGTATATATTAACCTTGTGCAATTGCATTTCAGCCTCTGTATCCAAGCACAAGTCTACTGACTGTAAAAGTATGGGCCAGCCCATACACTAAATCCTTGGTTCTCAACTGGTGGATCGTGACCCAAAAGTGGGTCGCGACCCAGTTTTCAGTGGGTTGAGACCCCATGTTCAGTGGGTTGCCAGGTGCCTCCCACTTTTCTAGATGAGAGGCTTCTCAGCCCCCCCCCCCCCTAGTGCAGCACTGTCAGTTCTCACGCTGAGCAACCATTCATATGCTGCTTGATGCCGAGTGTCAGCTTAAGGTAGGGTGGGCTGGAGCTATGGCTGCAAGGGAGCTCCATCCATACATGCATTGCTTACAGCTTCCTTGCATGTCCCATAGAGGTGCCTGAACCAGAGTGACATCACGTTCTGCGTGTGCACACTGGCCTGTGCGGCAGTCATCTCTCGATCATGTTAAAAACCAGCCGAAAATCGTACGATTCTCGGCTGGTTTTCCAACATGTTTGAAATAAAAAAATTGTGCGACCGTACAGTAGAAACGGTCACACGCCTTCCATACACTGCACGATTCTCGTACGATCGCGGGACTTCCCGCGATTCTCGTACGAGAATCGTCCAGTGTATGGGCACCTTAAGAAGGAGCTCCGTCACAGCACAGCAGCCCACATCTGACCACAGGCTGAAGATCGACTCCAGTTCTCATAAGGTAGGAAGA